CGGACACGACGAGACAGAAAATTCGGACAACCCTGATGTGTTTCGTGGACTCATAAATTTTAGTGTAGATCTTGACGACATTTTAAAAGAACATCTAGCCACATTGGTATGACCGGGATTTTCTGTGATTGTACCGGGAATTAGCTGTATGGTCCCGGATTTCGGATTTGCACGTATAACTCCCGGAATATAATATAATGTACATATATATAAAAAAAGATAAAGAAAAAATCATAACACGCCGAGGAAAATTAAAATTCGTTGAATCGTTGGTAAATTTCACAAACGATTTTTTTTTTATAAACAATATTCAATAATTTAATAAAATATATTTAGTTTATTCCAATTTATTATACCATCAGTAGGTAATTCGTAAATGGATATTTCAAAAAGGTATCAATTTCAAAAATCATTCTTGTGAAAATTTGTATTTTTTTATAAATTCATTGTTCCTTGGAATTCAGAAGTGCCAGGAAAACGCGTGACCTTGAAAATTTTAAAATTTTTCGCCTGCGGCGCCATTTTTAAACTCCGGGCACTTATCCCGGAATTCAATTCAACAAATGTAACAACCCTAAGCAGAACACATTCAATCAATGTTCACGCGCCGCCACTGTTTATTACCTACTTAAATTCTATGTCAGTCCTACATAAACTTATATGACAGCATAGCTTACAAAATCTAATGGGCTATACCACATACCTGCCAGCCAAACTGTTTATTTTGATCGAATTCAATAAGCAACATAGGTTTTGAGTAATATCTTGACATTTGGGTACACTGTTGATACAATCTCCCTGAATTCAATGATCCTATCAGATCTGATAGGCTTTTCCTTTCCACACATATCTCTGGAGTTAAAATATAATCACCTACCTACAAATCATATAATGTATAAGTGTCTATGCTGATTAGTTCGCTCACATAACTAAAAATATGTTTTTTAGAGTTTCCAAATTAAATCAAAACCTTTAAAACATGTCTTGTCAAAATAAAAACAGGAGTCGGAAACCCTGTTCCTCGGAACATTTCAATTTATTTTGGTGAAGAGAACAAGTTCTTTAAAGGAAATTGTTCGATTTTCTTTACAATTTATTTAAACAAACATTTACATACTTACAGTTATCGTCAGTGGTTCAATATCGATACCTCTTTTGTGTATTAGTGGTGGTAATTCACTTCTAAACTCTCTCATGTCAACAATAATAATTTGTTTTTTAGCCGGTTGCGGTTTTCCGCCTTCTCTGGTGTTTTTAGCTAAATCTGAGGCTTCATTTTGTAGTGACAATTCCGTTTTTTCATCTTGATTTTGTGGCACAACCATATTCTAAAATGGCTGCTGTTATTGTGGTCACCAATTTATTTTTATATCGATATACATCTACAAGTTCAGAATAATTGCTTGAGTGGTACTACTGTCGCAATTTTATTAAATGTTTATGTGAAACAGAATTCTGTTGTGTTATAAAGGATGTTTTCAAAATTCGTCATAACTTTGGAGTTATTCCTTGTATTATTTGTGTAGAATATCTACACTGAGTGATTCAGAAATTCTTCATTTAATTTCTCAGAAAAACGTATCCTATTTTATTTGATAAACAAGCCATATTCGAGTAATTTTTTAAATTTAAATTAAGCTAATTACACGATTAAATGAATCTAAGATAACTCTTTAGAGGAGAATATCCAAGTAGTAGTTTTTTTCGATTATCTTAAGAGTTTATAAGAATATGTAAATTTGTATGTATGTAAATGTAAATTTCATATTGAAATTCCAATAATTGTGGAAAATATGGGCAATTTACTGGATTGCCAAAGTCAAAACTCACGTGACCTAAGAAGGGAGGATTCAGTGAAGGTAGTCAGGGCTTGTTGCAGAAGATGCTGCCAGTTTTATGGAGGGTCTACTCTATGGTTCAGGAATCTCAAATTAATAGTAAAGTAAAAAAAATCTCAATATAATATATATTATACAGGGTGTTTGGAAAAGTTGATACAAAATTTAAAGAGGTGAAAGCCAAAAGTAGTAAAAAAAGTTCCTATAAACATTGGTCCTCCGGAGCACCGTTACTGAGATATAGCCCTCCAAAGGGGTCTTATCATTTGGATATTTTTTAAAATAACTTTCTGATTAAGATAACTTTTATCGTCTTAAATTTTGTACCAACTTTTCCAACACCCTGTATATTTTGTAATTATGAATTTTTTACAAAAATCGATTTTACTAAAAAAATTCTCCAAGTTTGGAATATGAAAAATATCGTGTGTAAATATTATTTCGATATTTCAAGAATTGTAAAGCTGATGAGTGACCAAGTTCCCACGCACGTCAATTCTTTGGCAAACTTTAAACACGATTATCTCGAAACATACTATTCAATGATGGTTCTCAACATATTTGGAAAATGGCTCCACTGATTGCTACAAAAATTTGACACAATATTTTCGAATAGGTTTTCTACTTCAGAACGTAGGATTTTTTATTTCACTTAATTTTTTTTTATCAAACCAGAAAGATCGAAAATTGAAATCGATCAAGGGTCATTTTGTGAAAAAATTATTTTTTGAAAATATTACATTACAAAGGGCACCATACATTACATTTTGAGAATCTTTACGAAATTCTTGTTTCAGGTCAACTGACTGCATGTAATCTTGAGAATCACAGACTGTGCAAGCGAGGGACATTTTTTATACAGGCCATGATAGCAGTGCTTCCAGTCGATATATATTTATAGAGAAATTTGTCAGCTTACATCAACATGTATACTTTCGAATAAAACAAACCTGGATAAAATCGAATAGACAGTTTTTGAGATCATAATTCCTAAAATTCACCTATTTTTTACGCTGTTTACTCGAATGTTCCTCCTTAATAAACAAATGTGGCAAAGGATCAGTCAAAGAATTGATTTTGTAAATTTAGTTTTGCTTATCAGAAATATTTCATATAAAAGTAGATAATAATTATTCATGGGTTTACTATAAACATTAGGACACATGGACAGGCATAATCCTGTGACAGTGCTGACCAATCATGTCTGACATACCATGCTCCTCATTTTCAAAGTAGTCCTTTACTGGTGCGAGCTTTCAATTAATGGCCAAATGATTTTATTTTAAATACCCTTGGTCATGTGATATAGTATTATAGTCAAGCTTAAAATAAGCCCTGAAAGCCTTTCCAACACTTAAGATGAGTGTGAATTACAATTTATATTTCTTAAGGTTTTACGATGGACCAAGCTGGCCAAAAGAGTGTAATGGACATCTTGTGGATAGTCCACAAACCTTGCCTCGCTGCAACTGAACTTCATGTCGGTCACTTGCAGCTGGCCCGTGGCAATCATTTCAGTTCTCAACTGACTGAGACAAATGGGTGTGTGTTCTGCTCCCAACTCACTACCTTAAATGCAATGTTGCAAATTTTATCGAAAACAAAAACCACATAGCATCAGTATCTTAGTACTCTTACTTTGTTGATATGCCTCGTATTATTAAAATTTTTGGTTGAATATCTTTTTACTTATTACCGATTTAGTTTGAATTAAAAATTCGAAGGCCTCCTTTTCTCTTCTTAATGTTGTTAAATAACTTTGTTCCTCAACCGTATCTGCATGAACCAAAAAATAGACCTTCAATTGTTTATCCTTTTGCATATGAGCCACATACATCTAAAATAGTAAACTACTGTAAATGTTTAAGCATAAACTATTTCAATTTATACCTCAATCTCTCTCACACATGTCATGCTGCAGTGATACATAATAATAAATGTTGGTTTCAAATTTTCTAAAGTATTTTGTAGATTTACGCAATCACTAAAAGATCCGAAAGTTTGAATAAGAATTTTTGGATCGGATAAAGATTCACAGATTTGTGTCAGGTTCATATTTTCCATCTGAAACAGATGCCAATAGTAATGAAATTTCACAACTGAAAATATTTCACAATTTACATAGAGACGTTGAATAAGTTCTCACTGTTTTTTAACAGATGGTGTTACCTGAACTGCATGAGTGTAGTTTAAGGAAAGAAGAAGTACTACAAAGAAGCTTGAAATTCAGTGTATATTATTTTACCGAAGTGTAAACTACTTTATTCAAAAGAAATCTCCAACTGAAACACACAGAAATCTTGTTGAGACTTATGGCGACCATCCTTTGTCGCAAACAACATGTAGAAATTAGGAGTTGATCACACAACTGTTTTGAAACATTTGAAAGCATTAAAAATGATTCAAAAGCAAGTACATTGGGTGTTGTACGAGTTGAAGTCAAGAGACGTCGAATGCTGTCTTTCACATGTGAACAGCTGCTTCAAAGGCAAAAAAGGAAAATTTTTTGCATCTTGTAACTGGCAATGAGAAATGGATATGCTACGATAATCCTAAGCATAAAAAATCGTGGGGTAAGCCTGAGCATATTGTATGCAAAGCCAAATATCCATGGTTCCAAGCTTCTGCTCTGTATATGGGGGATCAGATCGATGTAGTTTATTATGAGCAGCTCAAACTGAATGAAACCATCACGGGAGGTCGCTATCTACTACAATTGAAGCGTCTGGACCGAACATTGAAGGAAAAACGGCTGCTTAATGAGCAGAGACAAGACAAAGTGATTTTATAGCATGACAAAGCTTGGCCACATGATGCGATACCGCCACCCGCCATATTCACCAGACATTGTTGGCTGAGCAGCACTTCCATTCTTATGAAGATGCCAAAAAATGGATTGACTCTTAGATAGCCTCAAAAGATATGTAATTTTTCCGATGTGGAATTAAAATGCTGCCAGAAAGTGTAGTGGTTAGCCATGGAAAATACTTTCAGTGACTTGTGTTTTACATATTTTTTTTTTAAATAAAGCATTAATTTTCACGAAAAAACAGCGACAACTTATTCAACATCCTATAAGGTCTAAGAGATTTATTAAAAATATTTTGTTTACCTGTGTAAATGGTTCAAACATATGTTCAGAGTCATCTGTTTTATTTAAGTCACATACTGATTGACTCATTGTTAACACATAACTATTTTGAAAATCCTCTTTGTCCCCGTCATTCGATTTCAATTCTTCAATATTTGAATTTTCTGCTTTAATTTTTTTATTTTTTGCATTATCAATTGTTTTCTCTTCTACAATATGTGTTAAGTTAGTCTTTCTTATAAAATTTTGGCTCATGTTTTTTATAATCAAATTTCTTTTGATTGCTTCGTGTAATAAGTAGTCATGTGGACCGAATGTTAGGATCTGTAAAATAACATGCCTCGGCATAACAGGCCAAAAACCCATGGTACTTTAAATAATAACACAGGCCGTGAAAGCCTTAAAACTACTATGAAAGTATCTTATACATACTTTGTTTAACTGGTAACAAGTTCTATTATCGGAGCATAATATCAATATGGTAGCATCATTAGCTTTGTATTTTTTCATTTCATTTGGGATTTCAACTTTTAATAATTCTAATAACGGTTCCCACTTAAGGCAAAACTCAGGATCAAATTCTAAAAATTATTTAAAAAAATAGCCATGTATTGTTAAAATGCACATTTTACACAAACCTTTGTCATTATTGTAAACAAGGGAGTAACTTTGTGAAAACAATAGCTCTGCTGGTTCGAGTAACACCCAAGAGGAACTCTGAGCATACTCCATTGTACGATAACCAGACACTATATTATAAAATGTTACTGAATCCGAGAAAAGCATTGTCCTATAAATATAAGTTCAACATTTTCAATATCAGAAAAAAGTTTTTACCGCACTTACTAACTAAGAAATTATAATTTACTTGACTTGATAAATATGATTATTTTGATCATACAGTATAATTTCCATAATGTTGAATATATCGTTTCAAATCTAGTCCACAGTAGTGAATACTTTGTATAATTATAGAAGACGAATAAAAAAAGAGAGAAATATGCTTAGACAAATTATTATCATTATTTTACAGTATACATTTACCAAATTTTCCACAATTTTACCAATCGGTACAATCATCCCAGTGTTTGCCTGTTGGTTTTTTTGCAACCACCTGATTACACAATGCAATGAATAGTTGTCAAGTCTATCAATACTTCATAATTCAAATCTACATATACAGGGTGTCCCACCTGGAACTGTGGCGATCGATATCTAGGAAAATACTGCTCCGAAAAATTTGAAAAGTTAGCAACATGGCAATGTCGCTGGTGTGAACTAAAATATCTAGAACTGTCCAGCACTTCTGGTTACACCGGAAGTCGACACCAACTTTGTTATTTTAAATGAGGCACCCTATATATTTTCGGATTCTACGTGAAATTTGAGGGTCACTTTATATTTATTTATTTATTTATTTATACTGCATACATACAGACAAAGGGACATTCCAATTACATGTATACATTGAGAAATGTTAGCTAATATAAAAAACAAGTTAAAAATAATGTATAAACAACCAGAAACATGCAAAATACAATGTAAAAAGAGAACAAAGAAAGAAAACAAAAAATGTCAGTTAAAATGTACATAAAACACCCTTAGAGTAGCTTAGTCCGACTAATATTAAAAATATCAATATTGTATATTCTTAACAAATTATTCACCGTACACAGACACTGTTCTAGGGGTGAATTAATATTAAATATTTTAAAAAGTCTATATCTAGTTCGCATTCTCATATCGGGTACATTAATATTAATAGATGCCAACAAATCGGGGACAACAATCTTACTATGTAAAATATTATAAGCGAACAAAATCTGAGCCTTTTCTCTTCTCCTATCCAAAGAGGTCACACCAAACTCTGCTCGTTGATGTTCATATGATACCATGAACGGGTACACTCCATACTCTTTAACATATATTGACCTCAAAAGCTTCTTCTGTATTTTCTCTATTGTGTCCTTGTTACTGGTAGCGTGTGGGTTCCAAATCACACTGCAATACTCCAGTTTTTATCTTACAAATGTATTGAATAGCTTTATAACTGTGTTAGATTTAAACTCTTAGCTAGTCTTAAGAACAAAACCGAGCTTCCTGTATCATTCAGCTGTTAAACTTGTAATATGCTCATTAAATGTAAAATTTTTGCTAAAAATTACACCTAGGTCCCTGATCTATTTAGAGGCTCTATCTCAACACCATTCACCATATACACTCCCAATATAGGGTATTTCTTCCGTGTATGTGATACCAGTTTACATTTTGCCTCATTTAAAGCTAAGTCGTTATCTTTACAAAACACAGGAACAGCTGTGCACTTTGCAATTTTGCAACATCATCCCAATATGTTATGTTAAGGTAAATCTTCAAGTCATCTGCATAGAGTAAAAACTTTGCATGCTTTATATAATCAGAGATGTCATTTATAAATAAGATAAAAAGCAGTGGTCCCAATATGGACCCTTGAGGCACACCGGAAGTTGACACAAAAGTTTCAGATTCTGCACTGTTAAATTTCACAAAGTTTATACGATCAGTCAGATAAGTTCTAATAAACTGTATCAAATCTACGCTAAAAGAATAAGAGTTCAATTTCCATAATAAAATGTTATGGTTGACTCTGTCAAAGGCCTTCGCCAAGTCAGTATAAACAGTATCTATCTGGGAATTATATAAATTTTCTGTAATGTAGGCACTGAACGTACATAAATTAGTAGCGGTAGATCTTTTCTTTAAAAAGCCATGTTGTTCTTCTGACAATATTTGTGTCACATGTGTATATATCCTATTATATATTACTCGTTCAAATATTTTTGATATTGAGGGTAGGATTGTTATAGGTCGATAGTTTGTAATCAGACTAGTGTTTCCTGACTTGTGTACAGGCGTTATTCGCCCTATCTTAAAGAAGTCTGGAAATTTTTTGGCCTTCAATGCTCTGTTGAATATAGTTTGCAATGGTAATGCAATAATGTCAGCATACGCTTTAAAAAAGTATGAAGGTAATCCATCTACACCTATTGAAGTCTGTGGTTTCAGTGATTTTATTGCATTTATGATATCATTCAAGCTGACGGTCCCTATATTTAAATTATCCAAGTTGTAATCTTTATCTATACCATTTCTTTGTAAAGGAGTCTCTACAGAATACACCGACTTGAAGTACTCAGCAAATGCATTTGCAATATCCTCTGGCCTTTCAAACGACTGACCATTGTAACAGAAATTGTATGAAATGCGAGAACTGGATCTTTCATTTCTTATATAATTCCAGAAGTTTTTTGGGTCAATGTTTATATTATTTTCTATATTTAAAATAAAATCTCTTCGACATTTTTTAATTAGACGCTTCACCTCCTCNCTGTATTCAGAGAATCTGTTCATCTTGGGTGATTTTAATGTGCCTGAAATAAACGATATGCGCTATGACTGTGGCAACGGTTCTTACAAGGCCAAAATTATTCAAACAATCCTATGTACATATGATCTGTATATTGTCAACAATGTACTAAATCGGGTGAACAACTTGCTCGACTTGGTGATGACTAATTTAACTGAGGCAAAAGTTTCTCACTCTAATACATCTCTCGTTGCAATTGACCAATATCACCCTCCTTTGGAGATTGTTATCACTTTTGACGTTGTTGCTGACAGATATAAGGGTGGATTAACTGACAATAATTATAAACGGAATTACAATTTCGGGAGAGGTGGCTGTTATCAATTATATCATCTGCTTAGACAATGTACTTGGGAAGAAATCATTACATCTGAAAATGTAAACAAATGTGTGGATCAGTTTTATGATGGTTTATATGGTATCTTGGATCGGTGTGTTCCTTACAAAAAATCCTATAAAGTCAACAATTATCCTAAGTGGTTTACAGTGGAACTCATAAATAAAATAAAGCTGAAACATCGCTTGTTTAAAAAATCCAAAAAGTGTATAGAATCTGCGAGTAAGTTTTGTGAGCTACGAGAGGAGGTGAAACGTCTAATTAAAAAATGTCGAAGAGATTTTATTTTAAATATAGAAAATAATATAAACATTGACCCAAAAAACTTCTGGAATTATATAAGAAATGAAAGATCCAGTTCTCGCATTTCATACCATTTCTGTTACAATGGTAAGTCATTTGAAAGGCCAGAGGATATTGCAAATGCATTTGCTGAGTACTTCAAGTCGGTGTATTCTGTAGATACTCCCTTACAAAGAAATGGTATATGTAAGGATTACAACTTGGATAATTTAAATATAGGGAGCATCAGCTTGAATGAAATAATAAATGCAATAAAATCGCTGAAACCACAGACTTCAATAGGTGTAGATGGATTACCTTCATACTTTTTTAAAGCGTATGCTGACATTATTGCATTACCATTGCAAACTATATTCAACAGAGCATTGAAGGCCAAAAAATTTCCAGACTTCTTTAAGATAGGGCGAATAACGCCTGTACACAAATCAGGAAACACTAGTCTGATTACAAACTATCGACCTATAACAATCCTACCCTCAATATCCAAAATATTTGAACGGGTAATATATAATAGGATATATACACATGTGACACAAATATTGTCAGAAGAACAACATGGCTTTTTAAAGAAAAGATCTACCGCTACTAATTTATGTACGTTCAGTGCCTACATTACAGAAAATTTATATAATTCCCAGATTGATACTGTTTATACTGACTTGGCGAAGGCCTTTGACAGAGTCAACCATAACATTCTATTATGGAAATTGAACTCTTATTCTTTTAGCGTAGATTTGATACAGTTTATTAGAACTTATTTGACTGATCGTATAAACTTTGTGAAATTTAACAGTGCAGAATCTGAAACTTTTGTGTCAACTTCCGGTGTGCCTCAAGGGTCCATATTGGGACCACTGCTTTTTATCTTATTTATAAATGACATCTCTGATTATATAAAGCATGCAAAGTTCTTACTCTATGCAGATGACTTGAAGATGTACCTTAACATAACATGTTGGGATGATGTTGCAAAATTGCAAAGTGATGTCACAGCTGTTTCCGAGTTTTGTAAAGATAACGACCTAGCTTTAAATGAGGCAAAATGTAAACTGGTATCATATACACGGAAGAAATACCCTATATTGGGAGAATATATGGTGAATGGTGTTGAGATAGAGCCTCTAAATAGAATCAGGGACCTAG